AAAAACAATTTATTTCAAATATATAACAAGTTTTTCTGAAAGTTTTGTTCTATAATTTATCTAATATATTATAAGATTTTATAATTTTATTTGTTAAGGAAGGAATGCTATTTGACAGTTTTTTTTACTTAGGATGGAGGAATTTTTTCTTACAACAATAAACAACCGAACTTTGTCTGTTCAGTTGTTAATTGTTTTAAGGATAAACATACTACTGCATTATGCCAACAGCTCTTCAAGTGTTCTCTGTCAACTATGAGGTTATTAACACATTTTAAAAACTTTAAAAAAAGATTGAGTATCCAGTAATGAAGTGGAAGTAAAAGCCAGTCTTTTAACCTTTCTTCTGATTGCTTTTAAATGTGCAGTCTCAAAAGCATTCTAAAGAGTGTTAATGTTATGCAGATAACATATTTTTTTAAGTATAAAGATGTGTTTTTTTGTTTTGTTTTGTTTTTTTGCCTTACTAGGTTTATGAGCAGTCAATTTTTCACTCCTTTTAGTCTAATTAAAGAGTAAACCTTATCATGACCTTATTTATACCATAGAAAACTAAATTTTTCTAGATTGAGAAATCCTTCTAGAACCTTCAAAAAATTCTTATAGGTCAACTAATTTTCAGAACCTTCCAATATTTTACAGAACATTCTAGTATCTTCCATAACATTCCAGAATATTCTTGTTCTGTAAGGTTACAGAATGTTCTACCATCAATAAGATAAAGTCATGTATTTAATATAAATTATAAGTTCTCATTCACCTTATGCAAAAAACAAATACAAATTAATGTAATTTTATACTTTACAGATTCATATAATTTAATAAAAGATTCGCTTATAATGTACATGTATGTATGTATATGCATAAACAAACATATATTAGAATATATTAGAATCTTGTATTAAATTATATGAATCTGTGTATGTATATGCATATCCTTTAATAAGGACTGAAGCATTTCATTACTTTTTTATTATGACAATACATAGACATAAAGAATATTTCATAATGATCAAAAAATAGAGAAAGGGTATCATTTAAAAATCCACTCCAGAAATGGCAACCGTATATCATCAAGGATGAATTAGAGATTTATATAGATTTTTTTTTTTTTTTTTTACATTATTCACCTCCCCAAGGCCCGAGGGGGCCACTACAGTTGAGGAGGCTACTCATTTTTTTTTTGAGTTTTTTATTTTTTTGTTGTATTTCGTGGTACAACCCTCTCTCAACTCTTTAACTCCGAAACACGAACCTTGACAAGCAAGGCCGCTGCGCGGAGAAACTAAGTTGAGCGCGGTACTTCCAGGGACGTGGTGGGAGTCGAACTCCGAACCTCTCGCTTACAAAGCGAGCGCTCTTACCACTACACCACTGCCGCATTAAGATTAATATTTTAGATAAAGAATAGAATCCTGAGTAAGAAAGTGGCAAGTACTAAAAGGAGATGCAACCTTAGAAAATGCTAATTTTGCAATAGATTTGATGTATAGTTTCCAAGAAAGATTAGAAAAAAGAGTTAATCATAAAAGACGAAGGCTATAGCACTCAATAATTACATTTCTGTTCATAAATATATGAAGATATAGATTAAATAATGACAAGCTAAAGCAATCAGAGAGTGTTTACTTCAAAACAATCTAAATCATCAAGAGAATACTAAAAGGTAAATTCAAGACTTTCCTGGAAATCATTAATATAAATTTAAAAATGTTTAGGGCCAAGGATAGAATCTTACGAACCTGTGAAGTTACAGGAAATAAAGAAGATTGCTGTCCATTGAGGACAATATTTATACTAAGATTAATAAGGAAGGATGTTATCTGATACATTGTAAGAAAAGAGCTGATGGAGAAGACCAGCATGCCAAACTTTATCAAAGGCTTTAGAAATGTTGAGAGCACCTTAACTTTTCCACATCCATCTAATGCACGATAAAATATCAGTTATTACCATTAACGCTACCAGCTGTAGAACAAGAAGATCAAAATCCATTTGATAATTAAAAAGTAAGTTTTAGATTCAAGATGAAAGATTAAGTGTTTTTAAATTAAAGACTCAAAAACCTTGCTTATGATAGGAAGAAGACTAATAGAATGGTAGTTACACAAGTCAGATCACTCTCCAGAATTTTTGAAATAGGGATAACAAATGCCACTTTCCAGCAGGCTTGAAAACAAGACTCTTATAAGCACTTGTTAAATAGCTTTAAAAGTATTAATGATAGCTTCAAAGAACGCTTCTGCAAGACTATAACAGATATGTTGTCTGAACCACAAGCTATAGAAGAGTCTAAGCAGGAAATCACTTCACATAAAGAAGGTAGAGCAATACAAATGTTAAGCAATGGATTAACCTGTTTGTCGGCTTTATTAAGTAGGATATGTTTATTGGATGAGATTGATAAAAACTTCAAATAACTCAGCTTTGTCTTTAAAGGGATACCAAACTCCCAACACATGTTGTGTTCATATTAAAGATAATGTTAAAAAAAAAGGTTTGAACTAAGTTTTTTTGATTAAAAATAAATAATGAATGCATAAATTTTGATTATAAGCATACTGTTCAATATTTCATAACCATCAAATAAAAAACATCAAGTTTGTATATTTTTGATCGTTTTATACAACTAATATTTAACAAACATACGGACAAATTATTATTATATAACGCAATAATTAACACATTAATTAATGGCAATAATTCAAGATAAATGGTAATTTAAATTGTCAAAATGTCATAACGCGCGTTAAAAAACATATTATATTTAATATTTCTCTATTTGTGTCGTATTTGGCATTTATCTCTTAACATGAAAAATTAAAAAAATTTTAAAACACAACAAATACAAATTTTCAAGCAATTTTCTCTTCCAATTTTCATTTATTCAAAGAAAAAGTTTAAACTTTTATTTCTCTTATCTAAAGAAAGAACGAGTGATGCAAAAAAAAAAAAAAAGAATTTTATACAACTCTTATTCATTCGAAGTTTAATTACGCGAAACTTTTCTTTCTCTTTTATAAAAAGAGGGAGCGATAAAATAAAAACTTTTCTTTCTTAACATAAATTTATATCTAGAGATAAAATTAAACTAGAAATAAATCAACAATGAACAAAGCAACAAACAATCTGGGACTATTTTGATATTAATGAATCTGGAACTATTTTGATATTAATGAAAATAATCAACATAAACAACATTACCAACAACAATTATCAAATAAACAACAAAATATCGCATAATTTTAGGGGCTTTTTATTTTTATTGCTTAGTCGTTCTAAATAATAAGTAAATTTAGTTCAAGTTAATATTTCAATATTTACAGTTGCAATATAATAAAGAAATTATGTTTGATGTTGAACTTTTTATTTAATTATTTATTTTTTACCTAAATTTGTTATTAAAAACTTTTAAACCCCTGTCATTAAAATAATTTGTTTTAAATATATTTCAAAGTGATTATTCAAACTAATTTTTTCCGCTTGACTTCCCGAACTTCATGCAAAGCAAATTGAGACGAAATATTGTCTAACCAAATAAAAATGCTGTTACTAATTTTATAAGAGTAATTAATGTAAAACAATTTTTTATCAGAGTCTTGATTGAGATAATAAATATTCATAATTTATAAACATTAAATATATGGCGCAATAACAATTTATAGCAACGAACCAGCATAAAATATTTGAGGTTTTTAATATCTTTTTAAATGTTAAAAATAGAAAGAAAAAAAACTAAACAAACAATCAAAAAAAGTTTGAATAAAAATAAATAAAAATATTTTCAGAGTTTCATTGTTAAAAGTCTACCGTGACGTCAAATACTAAAACTTTTATGAATTAAACACGCTTCAAAGGAATCGCCAAAGTCTGTAGATTGCGACGTATAATTTAAAGACTCAGAGTTATTGAAAAAAATGGAGAAGGCGATCTTCGGCTAAAACAACAACATTAGTTTTTCTCGGTATGCATTCATTATTTATTTTTAGTCAAAAAAACTTTGTTCAAACCTTTTTTTTTAACATTATCTTTAATATGAACACAACATGACTTATGACATGACACTAAATGACTTGGATTGTCTGAAAAGCGAGTTGTGAAGTTGACTATTTGTGTTGGAGATTCAAAATAGCAAACGTGGTGGACCTTTATGCCTGCAGAGTCACTGACACTAAAGCCAAACCATTCAGCATGATGATTATTTAAGTCACTAAAAACAATGATTTTGGCTGAAGAATGAAGAGAAAGAACTTGGTCAATTGGTCAGAATAAAAAAAAAAAAGAGTACACTCTTGAAGATGAGGAGAGATGAAGGAGAGCAATATATTGAGTAAAGAGAAAGATGATAGAGTGAAGTGTTGATAAACAAAAGCATATAAATGAATAGTTTGTAGATTTAAACTTAATTTCTTGACAAATGAGTGAACTCTTATGAATGTAAACGTCCAGATCAAGCATGGAATCTTTAAGAATCAAAGCAAGATAACCATAAAAACACTAAGATCACAAGATGATTCAGCTGAACTTAAAATTGTCACACAAATAGCAAATATTATGTCTAGTAAAACTTGCAAGAAATAAGACTCAACAGAAGAAAAGTTACTATGAAGACCTTGAATATTAGTGAATGATATATTAAGAGAACTTAGTGGTGACCATGATTTTTTTATGTTTTATAGTTTTAAATACTTTAGTCATTTTTAAAATTGATTAAAGAACACACACTGCTGTTACATACACACTTGTGGTCACATGTTACCACAAATGTGTGTGTGACCGCAAATTAAATACTAATAAATATATTAAATATATTTAGGAGTATTTGATTTGTCATGCACAAATGTGCATCACAAACCAAATACTACTAAATTATCATATTTATATCAAATATTAATATGATAATTTAGTAGTATTTGATAAGAAACTAAACTGTACTGATAACAAATACATTTATATTGTGTAGTATGACTTAATTAAATAATTAAAAATGTGTTACTTACTTGTTTCTGCGTTCAAACATAATTTTTGACATCACAGATGGTTTTAATTGTAAATGATCTCCAATCATTTCTAACTTGCATGTTGTATCTGTCAAACATGAAAACACTAGTGGTTCTAAAACCTCGGAAGCTTCTTCAACTATAATAGCGAAAGGCTTTGTATTACGAATAGCTTCAAGACGAGCAATACAGCCAACGATGGTGCCTCCAATTACCGCTCTTTTTTCATAGACTCTTGTCTTTGCTTTAATTTTTTCCTCGTGATGATTTTTTCTGAGAATTTTTATTTTTAAATTTCTAATTTCTTCTAATTTTAAAAGCAAAAGATAAAATTCTTTTTCTAAAAGCTTACATTGATACCATCTGTCTTCTAAACTCATTTCCCAACTCCATTTTTCAGGCGGTAGTATGGACTTTAGCTCATCAGCTTTGTTTAATTCAACCTGATTTTTTAGAGGTACTTCTTCTTCTTCAATTTGATCATCATAATTTTCATCTTCAAAATATACATCTCGCATATGTTGATAATTGGCTGGCTCTTCCATTATATCATCGTCATCTTCTTTTTTAAAACTTTCTTCAATAAAGTGTTCTTCATCTATATTGGCTTCAACACTGTCATGGTGGTAGTCATCTTTATCATCTGTAGAATAGTTCTTATCTATTTCTTCAAGCTCTAAAGTACTATTTCCCTTATGTTTCATTGTGTCAAAATTTTCACATTTCTTATTACTAATTTCATAAAGTTCATAATTTTTATCTCCTTCAAGACTT